TGCACAACCATCTAACAAGTCTTATAGATGACCTTGGATATGACTGACCTCACAAAAATGAGGAGACTCCATGATGTCATCATTCACCTGGAGGAGATCTCTACAAGTCAAGGAGGTCTTCTCTCCCAAACCCCTCTGCCCAGCCAAGGTGAAGTGACTATCAGGCTGGCCTTGTGGGTCTCAGCTTCTGGACCTGTGCAATGATGGATTGTGGTAGACCTCACCTGTCCAATAGAGGAGCCATTAGCCAGTGTGGCTATTGAATGCTTGAGATGTGGCTAATGCAACTAAGGAACTTAATTTTTTCTTTTATTTAAGTTTAATTTTTTTAAAATTGATTTAGAGAGAGAGAAGAAGGGAGACAGGAAGAAAGACAGAAACATCGATGAGAGAGAGAAACACTAATCAGTTGCCTCCGGTATGTACCCCAACCAAGGACTGAACCCACAACCTGGGTGTTTTATAAAATCTTATTAAACTTCAAGTATTCCCAATAAAAATTTAGTGTTTGAATTGGGATATGCTTAAGTGTGAAATATAAAATGAGTTTTAAAGATTTAATATAAAAAGAATATGCAATATCTCATTGATAATTTTAATGTTGATTACATATTGAAATTATAATGTCTTTAACATATTGCGTTAAATAGAACATATTATTAAAATTAACAATGGCTCGTTATGTTTCTCTTGGACAGTGCTGGGCTAGACTGTTAAGGGCAACTATCTCTATATTTGCAGTTTCTATACTATGTGCTGGAGAAGAAAGGAAGCCAAGGCAGAAATTCTCCACAATCAACCAAGAAAATATTGTTTGGTGGGGTTTTTTAATATACGTTTTTATTGATTTTTAGAGAAAGAAGAAGGGAGAGGGAGAGATAGAAGCATGGATGAGAGAAACACTGATCGGCTGCCTCCTGCACGTCCCTTACTGGGGATCAAACCCGCAACCTGGGCATGTGCCCTAACAGGGAATCGAACTGGTGACCTCCTGGTGCATGGAACGACACTCAACCAACTAAGCCACACCAGCCGGGCAAGAAAATAATTGTTTTGAAAGTGCACAGGTTAAACAAGAGCTTTCCTTAGCCACCTTCTTGTACACATGTTCCAAACTCAAAGTACTTTAAATAGTACCTCTGCACAGTAAAAACCTGATGACTACTTTGCTCTATCCCAGGCCAACCCAGGCTGCCTCAGTGATTTTCTCCTTTAGTTCTCTTAATTGTGCCATGTTCATGGGTAGTCAGTGTCTGTACTAGCCTGGGGACTGAAATAGCGGGCTAGTTGCAGAGAAACACTGAACTCTCCTCCCCACACAGTCTCACTTTCATAGCTTTTCCTTCAAAACCCTGTAACACCAAGGTAGCCTTAATGCATGGATCATACTCTACCCTCCCTGGAATGCAGAAGCATTTTCACTTCCCTCTTGTTTATTCCTCTAGGATCATCTCTTTTTTCATTTCTTCCATTGACATCTACTGAGCCCTTTCATTGTGCCAGGCACTGCATTGGGCCTGGAGGTAAAAAACCACACATACTCTTCCTTCAAGGAGATCACGGTCTAAAAGATAGTCATTTAAATAATAATGAATTACTCCTCGATAAAGGGGTAATGAACTGCGCCCATATGAAGGGGGACGGACGTCAAGCAGAAGAGGAACTGCCAAGGAGCTGACCCTTGATTGTGGTCCTGAGAGACCACGCAGGGGAGATGGCATTCCAGGCAGGGGGACAGTGTAAGTGTACTGAGCAAGTGTACTGAGGTGTGAGGCTGCACAGCGCCTTGGGAAATGCAAGAAAACTGGTCTTTCTTAGATGCAAAAAATAGGCCCTGGGAGGGAAAGGAAGGGAGAGGGGTGACCAACATGAGGTCACTAAGTTCCAATGTATCACGAAGAGAAGAGGAAGATCAGAGAACTCTTCAAAGCCACCAACAGGGAGAATTAGTCTCCTCCGCCTCCCTCCTGATCGGTCTGCGTCTTTCCAGTGAGTTACTAAACTCTCATTCTCCCAGGGGTTGCTATTGAACTTGGAGTTTCTAAGACGTTTGGCATCACCTTTGTCATTCAACAGCATTTGTTGCACGCCTATCATGAGACAGTCACTTGCCCGCTATAATAAAAATGCAGAAGACTGGCTTCCTGACTCCTATCAGGACCTCACGGTCGGTAGAGGGAGACATTGGTAACAGGCCAGGCAGAGGTACTTTGGCAGGGAACCATATTTTTTCCCCCTTTCTTACTACTTGGGAATGAAAAGCATGTGTTTAAAATACTTGTGGGATGGAGAGATTCTGTTCCCCCCAAATCAGTGTTTCCTATTCTCAGCCTTCTTTCTCTACAACTAATGACCTGTAAGCAGAGCGGGAAGGTCTCAACTTGTTTTGAAAAAAAGTTCATGCAGACAGCATTCCTGAATCTTCCTGGTTTAAATCGTTCTCTGGAGTGCTTCTCGTAACAGGTCATCATGATCACAAATTAAGAGACTATCCATTTTTAGTACACAGTGTAGAAAAGAATTAAGCTTGGGCAAATCCCAAGGACCTCACCTTCCATTTTAAAGAATAAAATGAGAACATGTAAAAACACCGAATGCACAAGAACTCCATTAGATGTAGAATTGATCAATGCTCTGAGTCATTAGTTAGAATATTTAAATTTTCCATAATCACATAATGACTTAAAAATAATCTTCATTCCTTCATACATTATGGGCTATCACAAGCTAAACTGGATCTTATATACACCACAGCTTTAGAGATTATCCATTCAAGAACCTCATTTTGTCATAAATTCATTAGTTTCTTGTTTCCTGCTTCTAAATGGCCGCAGTTGTCATGAAAACAGTGCCATGGCTCCAGCCCCCAAATTGGAAGCCAACCCAAACCTGCCACGCGGTAGCTCCTTGCTGCCCACTGCCCGCTGCTGCCCCTGGTTCTCCCTCTGCCACCTCTCTTCACAGAGCAGGTGAAAGGCAAGCACTGGGGACCTTCATCAGCCAGGTGGCTGGGCAACTCCAGGCAGCCAAAGGTCAAGGAATCACCTGTGGTGAGAGGACAGTTTGCTGAACCCAGATCTGAAGTTCTTCCTGACTTAACCCATCAGGGATTAGCTACTACAGCAGCTAGTTTTGAGCTCAAGTCTGTATTGTGGAATCTGAACTACTGATACAGCCATCACCACGAAACGCTCTATGAGCCTTGTTAACAAAACAGAAGGGCCTTCTGCCAATAGCCGAGAAAGAAATTCCTCCTCTCCTGCAGCTTGGACCGCAGCGTAATGAGGGCTCCTCAGCTCTCCCCAGTCGTAAAATGCATTACACAGGCTCTTCCTTTTGATGTGTCCAGTTTAAAAGTTTAGAGTTGATGCCTGTTCATCCGTAATTTATCTTCCTTTGTAAATATTTCTGTACCTTTTCCAATATCTGAAGTTTACACATTTCAAAAAAAAAAAAAGGAATTCACTCCTTCTCCTATTTCAGTTGTATAACTTTATGCTATGAGTCAAATTTGGGGCTAAATAAACATTCCTCAGGCTACAGTCTGCAAATACTTCTGGCGGCAAATTAACTCCAACAAATGTTTGGGTTGGGTGGCAAGGTTGTTTTTTAACAATCTTCCTGATCTGCCTGAAGTCCCAAGGACAGACTAGGTGAACCCTCCAATAGGCTTTTCTAACTTTGTACTTTCTGCCATATTCATATGCAGGACTCCAGTTTGTTGAAGTGGGTGGTTTAAAACATCACCACCAGAGGGAGCTACGTGTTTGCTTCTAAAATTGAATTTCACTATCAGATTTGAAAAATGGAGGCCCTGCTACCAAAAAATTGCTCCTGACAGCCAGCATTACCCAGGAAAGGTTCTCAGAAGGCCCAGAGGCAACCCTTTATTTCAAGGAATCAATTTCACTAATTTCACTTTGTTTTTGACGTTATGTGTTTAAAACCGAAATTGAAAAGCTCTGTAGCTTGCATAAACCAAACTGCATTGATTTATATATTTGCTGTAAACCAAGCAGGGAATGTGAACCATTTTTCATTCTCACAGTTTTTGTACAGTACTTACAACCTAACAACAGCACAACCAGAATTCTGACATCCTCTTCAGCACAAGAAACAACAAACAACATGAAGTAAAAAAAGAATGTGCTTAGCTACAGCAATAATGCTGCTTTTGAACAATGCAATCTTTGCTTATACGATTTTAACTACACACAGATCCCACTTCTGCTTTAGTGTAATTTTTTTATTTGCAGGGAGCATTTTGATTTATCAGCTTTAACTTCTCTTATTAGTATATTTTTTTGATCCACTGAGATTTGAATGCAGATTTTCCATTTGGTATTTTCTGGTATGTATGGAGGAAGCGTGAGTTCAATTCCCAAGCACCTCTACTGAGCTTGCATTGAAACGCTTTCTAAATTATGGTAAAAATAAATAAATAAATAACAAAAAAACCTCTAGTGTGTTGTCATCTGAAATGGCAAAGCCAATTGGGGGTCAGCAAAGTTTTTCCTCTAAAATGCCAGGTTACAGTAGAGATTTTGGGCAGTGTGAGCCATAAATTCTGTATCACAACTACTCAACCTTACCACTGTAGCCAGAAAGCAACCATATCAGCATGAACAACTGGGTGTGGCTGTTTTCAAAACACTACTTTGAGCAACAGGTGGTGGGCAAATGAGGATTCTTAATGTGCACACTCTTCTTATTGACAAAATTCAGAAGTTTCTATTATATCACCCTTTGATGATGCCCCTTGCCTCCCACACAGTTTTGACAAAGTGTGAGCTCATTAAGTTATCCACGTTAAAGTCCCTTGGAGGAGCACCAATGGGTTCCCTCTCCAGAAACAAAGGAGATTTAAGCCTTCAGCGTGTCATCATATTTGTGTCTTGTGAAGATCTCTTATGGTAAAATATAAAATCAACAAGAAGGATGTGATTCCCCGGCAATTTCTCCAAAGATAACATGGAAAGTAAACAAAAGGCACAGTTTACCTTCGGACTGATGTGTAGCCAGAGGAGTCTGGGTCTCCTTGGAGTAGGACACTACTTCCCTGGGCAGGAAATCCACTTGGGTAACCTTCGACACTCCCAGTTTGTGTAGTCTTCGTCTGTAAGTAACAAAGGACACATGCTTAGAGAGGGAAAGCATTCCTTGCAGGAGAGCTATCAGTAATAAAACAAAGCACTACAACAAACTCCAAATACCCTCAGCTTCCAGTATAAGTATCAGGGTGAGCAAGTAGAACTGACCCTGGGCTGGAAGTCAGGACATTTGGGTTCCTGGCCCACTTTGGCTCTATTTGCTGGGTTATGTCAGATGGGTCCCTCATGCTGACCCTCAGTTTTTCTATCTACAAAACAAGGTCTTGGTCCAGCTCAGATAAGACCCCTTCCATTCTGAGCATCTCTGATTTTGATTGATTTAAATTCATACAGGGAATTTTCATTTGTAATATAAAATTCTAGTGTCTTAGGTGAAATGGACAAAAGAAAAGTATGTGAAGAAATGAGAGATGATTCCTTAGTGGAGTAACATGTCTTCTGTGACAGCAATGAGAAGATATTCCAAGGGGGAGTATAACATCTCCCATTTCTCCAGAAAAGTAGCTGACACAGATCAGCCTGTGAATTTGTTTAAAGACACATTGACACAGAGAGTGAAGAGGGCCCTGGGCACATTGATAAAGTTTTAGCTTGGAATTCCCAAAGAATTGTGACCATGTGAAATATCATTTCTGAATATTTATGTAGCACTTCAAGTGTTTTCAGATGTCTTTCACCTCTGTGAGGCATATGGGCAAGTGCTATCATCATCTTCAGCTTATAGATGAGGAAAGTGAGAAATACTGTTGGCCTGAGTCCTGGGCCAGTGCTTTTTCCACTAAGCCAAACTTCTACTTAAAGTTCTTCAAGGTGATCTCTGAGTTACTGCAAAAACCTGAAGTGCCTCCTGAACCACCCAGGAAACATCCAATAATGAAGGCCCAGTCTGGTGGCCAAGCACATAAAGACTAGCCCCACCACTTATCAGCTGTGTATGTGATCTTGAACAAGTTATCTAACTTCTCTGTGCCTCAGTTTTCTCATCAGTAAAATGGAGATATTACTAGCACTTACTGTCAGGACTGTTTTGGGTAATGTATATGAACCATATACATATAATGTAGAGATTATGTATACATATATAATTTATAGACATACATAGCTTATGGCAGCTTCTACAATATTTTTGTATATACATTTAGCATTAATTATTGAACATATCTGATTATATTTCTTTAAAGTTTACAGGTATACAGTATGTGTGTGAAAGAGTGAGGGGAAAAGAGACAAAGATGAGACAATAATTTAGCTAAAATCCCACATTCTCTAGCTCTATAAGACTAGTGAAGGCACATTCTATTCACATTATTGTTTTTAATTATTACTAACAGATGGCACAGACTTATTGTATTTATTTTTCAGTAGCAGTCATAATAAAATGAAAGAACATGCATAGTACAGCCAGGAATTTCTATGCACAATTTCCCAAGCGTTCTTGGAAAACAAAAATTTCTTCTTTTCTATGAGTTACTAAAACAATTGAGGCAAGATCTAAGATGCACACAAAGCGGACACAAACCACGGCTGGTTTGGAGAACAAGCCCAGCTGGCTGTCTCTGCAGTCCCAATGAGCATGACTGTAACCCAAGCTCCACGCAGACCAGGGCTACATGGGCCTCATTCACCCAGAAGTCTGGACCACAGAGAGTAAAGGAGGGTCGGGCTGGCTCTCCAGCCTTCCATGCAGCCTCCTCACAAAGAATTAGGGGAAAACACACAAAATGTACTAGAAACAAAAATACCCAAGAAGGTAAAATGTTCAAAGTTTCAAAGTAAGAAATTCAGGTATTATTTTAAAGCCTTCTTGGGTCAGAGATGATCTAAAAAATCATCCGAGGGATGCCAGAGATGCTGGGCAACAAAACCATGATCCCTCAGAAGCTGACTTGCATGGTCCTAAAATGACATGAGGCCCACATTTCCCCAGGGCTAAGATTGGACTCCCCACTAAAAGTTCTGGAAGCTTTCTCTCCACCTTGTTTTATCAACTTGGCTGAGCAAGCTGGTTGAGCAAAGCCATACTTCACCAAAGTTGAAATGTTTCTTAGTAAAGAATAAAAATGGAAGCTATTTGAAGTTTGAGGTTACTGGCCAGTGCTCAAGGTTTAAAGATTTCCAGTCCATGACTAGCATAGTCCAATCAACTTAGGCCTGTGCATATGTCCTTGGTTGGATATTATGAATCACAAGAATACTACTCCCTTGCATGAATCACTGTCCCCATTCCCCTTGCTGTTTCTGGATCACTTGTGATGTCTTTATCTATCCACCCACAATAAGTTTGCATAGCTTTGCCAGATACTTAAAAAGTTTCACTTTCCAAGGAAGATAAAGTACAAAGTGTGACTTAAGCATAGCCTATGCTATCTACCAAAATTGAAGAAAGTTAGAGTTATGCAGGCTTACTCTCAAATAAAAAGATTCTGTCCTTAACAGCATGAGAAACGTTGAAATTCTAATAAGACACTATGTGGTTCTTCTCTCATTTCAAAGATTAAGAAGGTTCAAAGTGGAGTAGCCCTGCTTTGTCCCTATTTTATTTTTAAAGATCTCTATTCCTTTCAAAGCCATGAACAACAGAACTTCAGCTTCTGAAGTCACTGCACCTGTGACTTGAAAATATGAAGAGTCACTGTTCAGTGCCTGCATGTGGAGTGTTAAAGAAAACACATTAGATTTCAAAGAGACTATGATCCAGTTGTCTTTAAGAATAAAGTTAAAGAATTTAAATAGGAAAATAATTTTAACATGACAAGGATATGGGTGATGGGAGTGTTGTTTATAAATAGCAAGTAAAAACAGATCTCTTGGATCAGACACAAGATCAAGGCTGTCTTAATTTTTTTATTATTTTATTTAAATAAAATATATACTATAAAATTCCCCGTTAAAGTATACAATTTAGTGTCTTTTAGTATATTCACAAAGTTGTGTAAACTTACCACTATCTAATAACACAAACTCTTTGTTACCTCCCAAAGAGCTCCCACTAATCTATTAGCAACCACTAATCTATTTTCTGTCTACTTTCATATATATAGAATAAAACAGTATGTGGCCTTTTGTGTCGATTCTTTCACTTAATGTTTTAAAGTTCACCATGTTACAGCATGAAGCAGAATGGCATTCCTTTCTATTGATGAATAATAATTCCATGGTATGGATATACCGCATTACTGTTAATACATTCATCAGCTGGTGGACATTTGGGTTGTTTCTACTTTTGTCTATTATGAATAATGCTGTCATGAACATTTATGTACAAACTTCTGTGTGGACATATTGTTTCAATTTTCTTGGAACTTATATGTAAATAGGAGTGGCACTGCTAGGTTTTATGGTAATTCTATGCCTAACTTTTTGAGGAAATGCCAAACTGTTTTCCAAAGGGGCTGTACCATCTTTCATTCTCACTAGCAGTTCAAATTTCTCCACATCCTTGTCAACCCTTATTAATATCTGTTTTTTATATTTTGCCCATCCTAGTGAGTGTGAAGTGTGATTCACTGTGATTTTGATTTGCATTTCCCTGCCAGTAATGATGTCAAACATCTTTTCACTTGCTTATTGGCCATTTGTGTACCTTCTTTGGAGAAATGCCTATTAACATTCTTTGCCCATTTAAAAATTGGGTTGTTAGTCTTTTGTATTGCTGAGTTGTAAGAGATTTTCATGTATTTTGGATACTACACCCTTATTAGATATATGATTTGCAAATATTTTCTCCCATTCTGTGGGTTGCCTTTTCACTTTCTTGATGGTGTCTTTTGAAGTACTAAAGTTTTACATTTTAATGAAGTCAATTTATCTATGTTTTCATTGGCTGCTTGTACTTTTGGTGTCATATCTAAGAAACTATTGCCCAGTCTAAGATCATGAATTTATACCTATGTTTTCTCCAAATAATTTTATAGTTTTACCTGTAACACTTAGATCTTTGGTTTACTTTTGAGTTAATTTTGCATATGGTGTGAAGCAGGCGTCCAATTTCATTCTCTTGCATGTAGCTATTCAGTTGCCCCATGCTTAATTTTTCTTAATATTCACTGGCAAGATTGAGCGGGAGAACTGAGAAAGGCTTTTGTCATGGTTATCGATCCTCATTGAAACCCACTAGCCCCAGCCAGTAGCCAAATCTTACTGGGGGTGGATAGATTCAAGAGGGACCTCATCACCTGAAAGCTTCCCAAGGCTCACAAAAGCTTTCAGAGAATCTGAGCATGTATTCCCCACTGGCATAAACATCATCAAATTTTTCGTGAATCAGATAACAGTGCAACTCGTATTCTGACGCTCTAATTTCAGACCACAGCCAATTATATACAGCAAACTTGATGTTTCTGCATTTCATATTGAAGGTAAGTGGATAAAACTGTGTAAGTTATGCTGTACTATCTCTATTGGACACATAAAGAATCCTAATATTCTTCAGGCAGCTAAAGCTCTAAGCGAGATGGCTGCCACAAACACTTCACAGATACCATCAGCTCATCCTCAAAGATACACTTACATCAGAGTGGATGCTTCATTTTCTGAGCAATACCAATACTGTAAGGTAAAGCTTCAAGACAGGTTGAGTCTGGCATTAGAATGGTTTTGGGTTTTTTTTAATGTCACTGTGCAGGTGCCTTTGTGAAGACACAGCAAAGCCAGTATAAAAATATACCTCAAGCATTTAAGAAACTCTTCAAATACCAGAAATTGTAAATCACGAAAGACTCTCAATAATGGTCTTTGACTAGCAGTCTCAGTGTGTCCAATGACTGGAAATCATAATGTTGAGGATATGTTGGTTAGACCTGGTGGCAGGAGAGGAGTGTGGGTAAATAAGGGGCAGATTCAGAACTTGGGTCAGAAGCCAAGAAATCAAAAAGGGTCATTGTAATTAGGAGCAGCCTCTGGAGCAGGGAAGGAACCTGGAAGTCAAGCAGATAAAACCAGGAACAGATGTTCTCAGACACAAAGAGTTATTTGGCCAGATGCCAAAGTAGGTCAAAAGCAAGGA